AGTGGGATAACTGGGGTGGGTGGGGGTGAGTGTGATGACTGGGGTGGGTGGGGCCGGTTAGTGTCATTTGTTTTGCTGCAGTGGGACAGGGATATTTTATTTCAACTCCGTATTGTTTTCGAGGACAAATTTCTTGATTCGTAGCCAATTGTTGAAGCTATTAAATATGATAAATAAATTTGTCAATATTCTACAGCAGTCTATTAAGATAAAGTATTTTCCATTATTATGTTGAGTGTTTTAGAATGTATTTGAAAATATAACAAGAACACATTATAATGTTATGGTACAAAAATGTATATAGTCTGCTAAAACTGGCTGGACTGTATAATAACCCGTACGGATTTGGAAAACCTGCGGTTTGTATCAAACAGAACGTTTCAGGAATTATTTTATATCAGAAAAGACAAAAAAAAATGCATTGTATACTATGTATTGACATGTGAAAATAGTTTAAATATTAATATGTATTTGATGAATTATTTTGAATCCGTGTGAAATACTATATTTTATGGTTTCCGATTAAGTTCAATGTTAGTACCTCCGCCCTTTATAGCTATAGCTATTGGCCCCCGGAAAACGCACGTTTGCATGCATTCTATCCAACTCTCGTGATTGTTTGCGTTGCCTGCGCCTCTTCCATACGTAAACGGAGCACAGAATTACGCAACATGGTAAACACGTCTCATGTTTGCAAAGCAGGGTCCGGAATCTGGAAGACCCGTACAAACTGAAACACACAATACATACATTAAGATATCTGGTGGCCTCCACTTATTTATCTGGTGGCCGCCACTTCCGTAGATACCAAAAGCTTTGGGTTTTTTTCAATTTAGTTAAAGTTATTTTTCCCCTTTATGATTTAAGCGTATTTATGTCTAACAAAAAGTTAATTAATTTACTATCAATAATTTAAGCTAAAATATGATTATTGCTTACACGATAAAACTGAAGTATAGCATTGTTGTACGATGTGTCAATTAAAAGTGAATACTGAGTGAATTAAATTTTGCTGACTTAAAAAAATCTTATTACAAAGATCCTGTATACCCTGGTTTGGTTTCGTGAGATTTTGATGGGAACAATGTAGTTAGACCTTTTACAAACTGTATAATAATGGTTAATTTGTGTACGTTATTGTAGAAGTTCATAAAAATTAAACTAATTTAAATGGATTTTAAAGGATTCGAATTCATTAGTGAAAACCTATGATAGAAAAGAGTGAGATATGTGAAATGGAGGATCACATCACTTGGAAAGCATGTAACATCTATTTTCACATTGGTCACGTTTCTGTTTTGGTGCATTATTTTCGCAAATACAATCGACTTGGTTATGTGAACATTTGAGATAGGTTCATATATTTGATCACAAGTGATCATTACATTGATTAAAAGTTTGTTTTAGTGAAAATGTTAAGTAGCATGAGTGTAACACTTGAGCACGTATCTATTGGAAACGGTAACGTATAGATATGTTTAAATTTTGAAACGGAGTAACGGTTGAAATAAAAGTGACATCTACCGCTAGCGTACAAAATTTTAGCAGTATAAGTTAAAGCCGCCCTGATGTTTAATTACGTTGGAGTTTTTGTGACGTTGTTTTCAATATAAAAGTTTGTAATAAAGTTACATGCTCAAATTGTGTGGACAGATACGTTTCAAGAACAAATTGTATCCTTGCTCTTTAATTCAACATATCATAATGATTTTTCTTCTCAAATATAGATCAAATTAATAGTAGTTGATCAAAATAAGTACAAGCAACATATCATTTCGATTGAAGACACTGTGAAACTTAATTTGCATCTCTAGCTGGCAAGGTAACATATACGTTACTTACAATATGATACTCAACTTTAAAGAGATACAGGCGAGGTAGTATCTTTGTTGTGTTGCTGAAGAACGAATTGTTTTGTACTGTAGATACATTAGTTGATGAACAAATACTTTTCTAAAACTAAACCCATGCATACGCTGTTCAAAGAATGAAATAAATATTGTTTTTGAATACATTGGTTTTAAATGATTGACAAAATGCCTATTTTCATATACGATCAGAAAAACGTATAAGCATTTGTCGCGGAAATGTCCATTTTTATGACACGTACAGTCTATCTTGAAATCGCGATTTACTGGGGAGTGGATCACGTATCTGTTTTACTGACAATGACCTGTTGGGAATGGACACTTCTGTTTTTAAAACGTGTTAAAAGTAAACAGATCCCTTTTGGTTTATTATCCTACACATGTCACTCTTTTGAGAAAAGATAACAAAATGTTCGCAATGCAAAGTTCCTTTTCCACTTTTACTGTATCTGTATTGGCGCATGATCAGTTAGAATGAAATCCTTTGCAATGAAATAGAACAGATTAAATAATGCATTTGATAAGAACATGACATCAAACACGGACCAATACATTGATAATTTACTTCCGTGCTCCAATATTTCAATATTTTCATATTCATTCATACTGAAGTAGTTATCTACGTACAAGGGCGTTTACGCATGCGTAATCCGAACAGGAAGTTATACAGGTAAATGGTCGAGTGAGCGGACAGGTGAAGTTAGAAGTACCGGACTTGTTTCTATATTTGTAAAACAAGACGGTCGTGTTAATTCGTTCAGAGGAGTTCAATTTATCTCCGGTAATCTTTGATGAGAATTGTGTGTTAATAAGTAAACATATATAGCAACAGATAGTCCAGCTATTCACCGCCGTTCTCCAATTCACCTGCAGCAATCAGATATTTAAAGACACAGTCGCCTCCAGGTAAGTGTGACTTACAGCAGCTGAACTTTTATATACACGTACGTATACGTTCACAGGTGTGTACGAGTGAAGCTCCAGATCACACCTGGGTCTTATTACCTGGTTGTCAATACCTGGTTGTCAGTGAACTGATATGCCATAATCACAGAGGACGAAACAATGCTTGTTGTTGTAGTCAATTGATCCGACACATAACATGCTGAGTTGTGGACCCATGCAGTGACAAATCAAACTAAACAAGACAAGTTTACCGTGTACTATTTTCAATAATATTAGGTCCCTCGGGAGGATGCATAGCCAATAGCCCGAGTTTCCTCAATAGCCCTGCCACCAGACTAAGACATTTTGACAGATAGATGTCAGTGGCGTAGCAAATCTTTTTCGGAGTGTATGCTTACAGGAGCGTCCAAGGCGCGTACGTATAGTGCCGGAGGAAAAGGGGGTATGGGAGGGGGAGAAACAAAATAATTCTGCTTGGCCCTAGAAGCAATCTCTCGTATTCTGTGAAATCCTTTTAGCCTGATTATTGTAAAGCCCGACTTTTTATATGAATAATACTAAAATTTGTACTTCACTAAGTAGTTTTTTATTTACATAAACCTTTCGATATTTTTTTAGGAGTTATCATCATCCTTTTAGCTAAACTGCTATACACTGTTCATGTGTTTCTATTAACTGTCTGAGAATTACCACAGGGGCATGGATCGCTTTACTTGTAATATTAAAAAATAGGGGTCTCCTCTACTAAAAAATTCAGGGGGTAACGGATTTCAGTCTGCCGTTATATCCCTTTGTATTTTTTAGTATAGGAGACCCCTATTTTTTAGTATTACAAGTAAAGCGATCTATGCCCGTTTTTACAATTACTGTGTGAGAATTACCATCAATTTACTCTTAGGTTGTTATATTCACTGTGCATGTGTTTACATTTACTGTGTGAGAATAACCATCAATTTACTCCTGGGTTGTTATATTCACTGTGCATGTGTTTATAATTACTGTGTGAGAATAACCATCAATTTACTCCTGGGTTGTTATATTCACTGTGCATGTGTTTACATTTACTGTGTGAGAATTACCATCAATTTTTCCTAGGTTATATTCACTGTGCGTGTGTTTATATTTACTGTGTGAGAATTACCATCAATTTACTCCTAGGTTGTTATATTCACTGTGCATGTGTTTATATTTACTGTCTGAGAATTACCATCAATTTTCTCCTAGGTTGTTATATTCACTGCACATGTGTCTATATTTACTGTCTGAGAATTACCATCAATTTACTCCTAGGTTATTCTAGGTTCTATTCACTGTGCATGTGTTTATATTTTCTGGTTAGGAATTATCATCATTTTCTAATGTTGTTTTATTCACAATGCCTGTGTTTACTTTTATTATATTGACTGCCTGGGAAAGTACCACATAGAATACCATAGCGGGGTGACAAACAGAAGAATTTCTTTTTAATTTCCTTTAAATATGTATATGACAGTTGTCTTTTTGTATGAAAAAAGGATTGTTGCTCTTTAGCTTGACCCCAGGTATTATTTCACTGTGTGAATGTGGTCATTCATTAGGATTTATAAAAAATCATTTTGAATCATTTATTAAAAAATATATCACAAGAAAAGTAGCATTATATTGTTCCCCATTAAAGCATATTCCGTCTTTGCGTATTGCAGTGTTATCTTCTCTTGAGAGCAGGTATTGATTGTTACGTCACTTGTTTGTGAGAATAACGACATCAATTTTTGAGAAAACGACATCATATTCTCACACAAACCAATGACGTAACAATCATNTCAATACCTGCTCTCAAGAGAAGATGACTCTGCAATACGCAAAGACAGATTAATATAACATATAGTGTACTATTTTTTAAGACAGTTTGTAATATGTAATTACCTTCAGAATATTTCATTGTCTATGATTATTTTTTATTTACACAAATTATGTAATATATTCTTACAAACAAATCTCAATGGATTAAAAATCACTAAATGATTTAAACACAAATAAGTATTATAATCAGATATATAATTTAGTAATTTATTTCAAAATAAATTCTATCAAATAAAAAAAATGTGTACAAGTGATTTTAATTTTACCGAAGTGGCATAATATTTAAGACATATAAGGTAAGATATTTTTTACCTGTATTATTCAGGTGTGAAGTGCTATAAATAAGCCAGTGAATGATAAGCTATCTGAAACTTAAATATTTTACCTATGAGATATGTATTTCTATGTGTGTACCAGTAGATTCCTGAGCCCAAACCTTCTCCGGTAGGGAGTCATATGTACCTGTGTAATTTATATAAACACATACCTGTATAAATATATATAGTCGTGGATAGATAGTGTAGCTATATTAAGATTGATTATAGATAGGTGAAGTGACCTCTGACCTTATGGTAGGACTCGACAGGTAGTAAATAAACCGCTTAGAAGAACAATTTTATGATGGATATAAATTTGGTGTGTACAGATAATACCTTAATGTAAATAGTGATATGTGAAAATATCAATATTTGTAATGACACCATTAGTCAGCATGGGTATTGATTTAGCATGGATACGTAATATTGTGAGGGTAGATCTTACAGACCTTGCAATGATGTCTTGTCTAGCCTAACCCCATCCCCCCACCCCACAGACCTTGCAATGATGACTTGTCCCGCCTCCTCCCCCGTCCCCCCTCTCCTCCCTACCCCAATCCCCACCCTCCTTCCCCACACATTTTCAAAATCCATAAACCCATTATGTTATAGATTCGTTCAAATCCATGTAGTTAAATTTTTTACCCTTGCAGTGAAATTTCATGGGAAGGGGGTGCTGGGGATGGGGAGGTTTTTAGATATATGCTTGAATTTAATAGTTAAAATACTAATCAGTTCATGCGTCCATAGACTTCTACTAAGTTCTTTTAAACTCTGTACACATGGTGAGTTTATCATGCAGGTACAGGTGAATGTTTACGTACCTATATTTATGTTAAACTTATACAGGTTATAACTTTATATCAACAAACCTAGCTACCTGTAAATGTAGACAAGGAAGGTATGTTCAACTATAAATAGGAATCTTGACTTTGACGACATTTTAAATTTAATTGAGAACTTAACAGGTTTCTATCATCCTATACGGGGGACGATGTGTGTGAAAGGATTGAAAACCTGTTTTGAGTCACCGCTGTGTAATCTTGTTTTATAATAAACTGTATGGAGTGGCAGGAGTTCTATATATATATGGTCCTTCCTCCTATTACAAAAACCTAGAGATAGTCAGATTATATCATTCTATATAACTTGGGTGTTGAATTAGAATACTAAAATAGTGACCTGAGGCCCTGATCAAGGATCATACAAGAATCTCTACGTAAGTAAGTACTGCGTGTCCGTCCAACTACTGTTTTTCATTTATAAATTAGATACAGTAATAACCTCCTCATAACTTTGTATTGTATATATATAGAACTATATTGGGACTTCAAGCCAGGTCACAGGGACCTGCAAATTTGTTACAGCTATATTTGGACTTAAAGTAAGGGATTCAGAGTAATTTTACAGGTTTAAGGGGTTAAATCAACTTTCGGTAAAAAGGCCACCAGCCCAAATGATAAGGATATATATGAGAAGGGAGGACATTTTTTAAAGCTCGATCTCCATATCGAAAATTGACCAAGCGTTCTTGCATCAAAACCAAATTTCTAGTTGATGTACAAAATATGGTTTCAGAACCGCGTTGGAAGGATGTTTTGATTGCTTTTCCTCCAAAAACAAGAGTTTCAAAGTTTTTCGTAGTCTGATAGAGGCACTTTTTGCAAATTATTCATGAGGTTGAAATCACCCATGTGCCGAAACATTATTTGGCTGATCATGAGAAATGGCATGTGTTTTTTTGTAGGAATCAGAGACCACGTCTGCAGAAGGAGAATCCATTTTATGTGCTTATATTATATAGTTGTTTTTTGAAAGAAAAAAAATATCCATCTTTCACAGATAGTGTGCATTATTTTGTGAATCAACTAGAAATATGGGTTTTGATTCAAGAAAGCTGGTAGACCGGATCGTAACCCTTAAGCTTGGCTAGCAAAAGATTCATTATAAGCTCCAGCAAAAATTCAGAAAAATTACATTTTAGTGTCAACCCTCTACAGAATGTGTTTGTGTGCTCTATACATGGAGAAAGAATGTTTTGAAAAAAAATAGGCAAGGTGCTGTTGCTTTTTGTTTCACATAACTAAACACAATAGTTTTGTGGTGTATTGTATACACTTTTAGTACACATTATAAGTGAACAATGAGTAAGCCTACAAAGTGTAGCATGCAGGTGATCGCATTACTACAGCTCTGTCTGGTCAAATCCCTCCTATTATAACTCCATGTATAGCAAAGTAGAGGGTCGACCTACCTTCACTACTTTAATGTATGCAAAGTATTGTTAGCTTGATATAGTAATAGCATAAATCAGACCTTTTTCAGAATGTGTTTTCATTATTTGTAATTTGATTGCATTGAAGGACAAGGTTTCTGATATGAATTTTAATGTACATGTATAGATTAAAATTAATATCAGAAACCTTGTCCTTTAATGCAATCAAATTACAAATGATGAAAACACATTTCTGTACATGTATAAATGGCAGGAGAACAAGAAGAAGTGGGTTCTCTTTTAATCTACAAAGCTAACAAGGCTTTGTTGATGCTAAGTACAATTGTACGTGTATAAAAACCAGGATAATTTGTAACTTTTGTAGCAGAGCCTCCCAATAATAACATTCTCAACTCGTTTCAAAAATCTCAGATCAAATGGAAACTCGTGTACGATCCTCTCTCTCTATATATATGGTCTATGAAGCCTTTATGTACCTTTCATATATTTTCTTGTTACATTTGGCATCCAACTAAATATATACTTCCACGATGTGGTGTAGGGTCTCCTATGTCATTCAGGTCAGAGACTTTGTTGAAGGAGAGACGAATATAAAGAACTGGACT